TAGAAGACCGTAGGTGATACCCGCGAGCACGGAAACGCTGAATTTGGAACTGCAAGATTGTGCGTGGGCAGAGGGTCATTACATTAAAATTTCAGCTTCGTAGATTTCGTGGTTCCCGAAATAATAATATACTCGCAAAAATTTTCACGGGGCGGTAGCTGATACCCGCGGGCAGGAGAAGGTTGGATTTAAAGTTTCTGAGTCGCATTTGGGGAGGGGGCATGCCAACAAAATTTCAGCCTTTTAGCTTCGGTAGTTTCCGTGATAATAATTTTACCTACTCACACTTTTGTGGGGCTGTACGTGTTACCCGCGGGTGCGGGAGGGCTGAATTTAAATTTGCGGGGCCACACATGGGTGGGGAACGTTCCCTTAGATTTTTAGCTTCCTAGCTTTTATGATCCCCGAGTTAAAACTTGCAGACAAGCTGCTGCGGGCACACACACACACACAGACAACCGCGTGACAATATGCGCTTTGTACTGCTGTTAAACAGCACAAAACGCATAACAAGCATAAGTTACTAAAAGCAGGATTTTCCTCAGGTCTCTTCAAAGCACGTGAAATTCTCAGGAAACGCTTCGGTAACATTTATGTTAATTTTGGTCATCCGATCTCTATACGAAAATATTTCGAAGGAAGAATAGAACGATTGCGCACTCCATGGCAGGTATCCTTTTAAACTTTTCTGTTGCTCTCCCTTTTCCAGACATAAATCTTTTGCATTTAAACAAAACTGTGCAAGAAAATAAGACTGTAAGCGCATCGTTATGCATCGCATCTGTTAGTGCAGCAGTGGGAATTCGTAGTGTACTGAGAACCGGAAGAGAAAAGCACTTTTTGTTCCTGTCCAGAATGGCAGACCCTGTAGAAATGTACTTTCATCCGCGAATATATTGCATTTTTTATCATTTGGCGATTAAATTACACATCCATAGTTTGTCCTACTTTTCCTTTTCATACAAACGATTTTAAGTCAGCTTATGCACGTATGATATTCTCTGACCTTTGGTTTGCATCCCATTAATTCGATTTTTGATTGCAGGTACCCAACCACAGGTTATCAGAGGGAGAAAAGCAAGCAGTCCGTGAATTTGCATTCCATGTAATACGTGTGCATAATGCGAATAGCACGATAACCGTTTGGCCATACGCGTGCTTGGTTTTGTTGCAGGTATTTTTTTCGATTTCGTTTCCTAGCTTTCCCGAAAGTTTAAGGGATCTAGTAATTCTTGCATTATCGAACTTGTTTTCTGACATGCATGTCTGTAATTACGTACGGGCCGATGTGGTCAAAAGCAGATGCTAGCTGCAGTGGAAGAAACTTTGAAGTGAGGGATATGCGAGTTCATCCTTCCTCCCGCTCCTCTTCCACTCCCCCGATGAGTAGAAAAGACCGTTGAGGCGGCCTCCGAAGATGTGGCGTGATTATGTCGGACAGACGGCCAGTACCGGCTTGTGATGTGTTGCTCAGTAGTGAAAGGCGTTGTGCAGCGGTGTATGTCAGAAGTTTGCATCTAAATGATACTGGATCTGCACACCTAGAAGATCTTAACATATTTTATACGGTATGGTGTTCATCCATAATAATGCGGAATATAGAAAAGAACCGGTTTCATAGTGAGCACCGTTATTGCTGCTGGGGTCTTTTTTTTCTTTTTTGCTAGCGTCTGTTTAGATTGCTGTTCCGAAACAGCAACAAATCCCTGTTATCATCGTTGCTGCTGCAGTGCGGTTATGAGAAATCCTGGCCTTATTTGTTCATAACACAGATCGGAGTGCTCTTTTTATGACATTGAC